GGAGAGGCAGAGGAGTTACAGTAGAGTCATGGAACACTCTGAGCTGGAAGAGACCCCCAGGGATCATCAGCCAAACTCCAGGCCCTACCCAAGACACCCCAACAATCCCCCCCTGTCCCTCAGAGCGTTATCCAAGAGTTCTGGACATGTTCCCCAGGGTTTGCTTTTGTTCTTCTCCACCCCCTGCCCCTCTTTATTGAAGGAGTTGGGGCTTAATTTGTCACCTACAAACACAGAAACATCCACAGCAACAATGCAGCAGGATTTCTGTAGAATCCTGGAATATCCTGAGCGGGAAATGACCCACAAAGATCATCAGGACACCCCAACAATCCCCCAGAGCGTTGTCCAAACCCTCCTGGAGCTCTGGCAGCCTTGGGGCCGTGCCCACTGCCCTGGGGAGCCTGGGCAGTGCCCACCACCTTCTGGGGAGGAAGAACCTTTCCCTGAGATCCATCCCAACCCCCTGGCACAGCTCCAGCCATTCCCTTCAGTCCTATAAAGACGTGTCAACTTGCAGGATGTCTTTCCCTGATCCCTAAATGGAAAGCAAGGATATCCCTACCCCTTTCAGACATGGGCTGAGGGTGTTTCTGTGGCCTGATTCTTTTGCTGAGGACACACATTGTGGTGGCCATGGTCCTCAAGGGCTGGAGGTGTGAGGTTTTCAGCTCCCCCTGAGTGTGGGATAAAGAAGGATCTCAGGTTTGGATACCTCTGTAGTGCCAGGAATGGCTTCCCACTGCCAGAGGGCAGGGTTAGGTGGGATACTGGGGAGCAATTCTTGCATGTGAGGGTGGTGAGGCCCTGGAACAAGTTCCTTCCCACCCTTATCTTTACACTCAAAGTCAAGAAACATTGTGAGAACTTTTCATGTGAAGCTTCTAAATTCCAGTACAACTGCTTGGAAAAAGCCAGGACTAAGTGATTAGAGGGAGTATTTCTGTGGCCCTGTCACCACAGGGCTGTTGGGATCATTTGTCCTGACAAGGAGCTGTTAGGTGTGGTATTTAGCAGGGCTTAATAAAGCACAGAGGAGAAATAAAGCTGTTAGGCATGAAATAATTCTTATTTCTTCTAAAACATAGGTCACTTACCGGGTTTATTACGGTTCTAAAGAGAGCTGGCTCTTGATGAAGAGCTCCCAGGAAATGTTTCCTTGTCCACTCAAGTGTACAAGCAATTACCTGCCAGGAGTCTGCGAGGGAGATTATTGTAATAAGGGTTGTTGGTGACTTCCAGATGTTGTAAAGAAGTCACTTGACTTTTAGGATTAATCTGAGCTTTTCATTCGTGTCTCTCTTGTAACTGCAGCTCAGAGCCTTGTAAGGGAAGCTGAGCTCATCCCACCCTGGAGGAACCATTGCCTGCAACTTGGCCTCCAATTCTTGCAACTTTTTTATGGTCAATCCTTAATCCAAATTAGATTGCAAATATTGTAGTTTTTCATCCTGCTGATGGTTCTCTGCTCTTGAGCTTGGGATTGGTGGCAGGTCTTTGGTTTAAAATTCCAGCTTTTTCTTCCACATTCAGCCCTGCTTTGCAGCAGTTTTTTTGTGCAGCCTCCAAGAACTGAGGGAACAGTTCTGGGCATGTTCCCCCTGGTTTTCTTTTGTTCTTCTCCACCTCTTACCCCTCTTAAATTAAGGAGCTAGGGCTTGATTTGTCACATACAAACACAGAAATGTCAACAGCAGTAATGCAACAGGATTTTTGTAGAATCCTGGAATATCCTGAGTGGGAAGGGACACACAAGGACCATCAGGACACCCCAACAATCCCTCCCTGTCCCTCAGAGCATTGTCCAAACCCTCCTGGAGCTCTGGCAGCCTTGGGGCCGTGCCCACTGCCCTGGGGAGCCTGGTCAGTGCCCAACCACCCTCTGGGGGAAGAACCTTTCCCTGAGATCCATCCCAACCCCCCTGGCACAGCTCCAGCCATTCCCTCAGGTCCTTTGAGCCTTTCTAGTTAAAAAAACCCCAAACAAATGAAACAAAAAACCTCCTCACAGCCTCAAGAAAACCCAAATGTCAGTGATCTTCTGCTGGAATGGTTGTTCAGGCCACTATAAAGGGTTATGGACTTGCAGAGATGCCACATGGTGATAAAGCTGCTGCTCAGGAGTCTGTGCAGCTTTGTGGGATGGCAGGGGAGAGAGGGAAGGTGTGTGCAGTCCCTCTGGCATGCAGCACATTTCCTTGGAATAACTCTGTCTTCCATCAGCACTGGCCATCCTGTGTGGGCCTGGACTCAGCACTGGTGAGGCCACCCCTGGAGTGCTGTGTCCAGTTCTGGACCCTCAGCTCAGGAAGGACATGGAGGGGCTGGAGCAGGTCCAGAGGAGAGCAACGAGGCTGGGGAAGGGACTGGAGCACAAGTCCCGTGAGGAGAGGCTGAGGGAGCTGGGGGGGCTCAGCCTGGAGAAGAGGAGGCTCAGGGGAGACCTCCTCACTCTCTGCAACTCTCTGACAGGAGGGGGG